ATCCCATATTTTTGAGGTCCAATGAGATGATTTCTGGAAAGTATGTAGTGTAGTACCTGGCATAAACTAAGCATTTAACATTAGGAATTATTGTATTGGGTGGCAGTGGCCTGAAGATCTTGTATTATAGTATTTTCCATATTAATTCACTTTACTGAAAGAGGCACTGTTATTAAGAAGTGAAACAAAACAAAAATATTTACATGGAGTTAGCTTTAGAGCTCAAAAAATTTGGAATTGAAGTTAGCTCTATCCCTCACATTTACAAGCTTGATAAAACAGAGCAAGTTAACCTATCTATACCTCTTTCAGCATCTACTCTGGGAGGACATTCTAAATTTCAGGCAACGAGCTTCAGTGTCAACACCAAGGGGTGAAGAAAAGAGAGGGAGAATTGCATTCAAGAAAAGGTTAGGGATATTCAAGAGGGCAGGTAAGGCAGGCTGTGTTCTAGAGACAATACCTGGAATTACTCTCCCAGGCAACTCTCCCAAATGGGAGGAGCCTTTTAGAAAACTGCTAGAGATAGTCCTTGTGGGTAAAGAACTTGTTAAGGGAACCATAGCAAGTTGGACAGTACCTAAAATATAAAAGCTATAATTACTGTTCTTACTGTACATATTATGCTATCAAGAGCAGGTTCTGTGTTAATCTATTTTTGTATCCTTGGATCGCTAAAAGTCAAAGAGAAATGTTTAATGCTGCAAGAAATTAACTTTTACTTAGCCTTGTGTATTCCATTCTCTGCAGTTTCTGGGTCAATTTTCAGATCTATCAGGTTTCTTAAGCCAATTACTGGTTTCAGTAAGCTTTTTCAGGTTACTAATCAGTATTTTTGATAGTAAGAACTCAAGTTTATTTTATGCATCTAGAATACTGAAGCAGAAGGTATTTCTTACTTAGGGAAAGTGTAAATAATATAAAGCAAGAGTAAATCTAGGAGCAGTTTGGAAACCACTATTTTCTATATCTATTTCACTTTTTATATATTTTAAAATGTGTGAAAGTAAAAGTAGAAAGAATACACTTAATCTTTGAATACAAAATGTTTTACTGTTTGATATGAACATGAGAAAGTTAAAACTTAGCTCAAATAAGAAAGTACTGTTTTCAGCACTGTATGAGATTTCTTGTACATTCATTGATACGCCATTTAAAACCATGTGATTTTAGTGATGGAAAATTTGTGTTACTTAAAAGGAAAGGAAATTAGGAGACATTTCTCCAAACCTCATCATCGTCTCTCTCTTTTTGTTTTTGGCAAGGGGATCTTGCACTTGTGAGGCAGGCAGCAGTACCACTGAGCTAAATCCCCGGCTTTGTCTCTTAATTTTCAAAGAAAGTAATCACAGAATAATTTAGAAATATTTACATAAAATGTTAAAAGTACTATGTTGTATTACAATATCCTTTTCAAATATCAACATACTTCAAACCTGCAATTTTCTTAATCAGAGAAGATTTCTTTCTCATTCTCTTGGTTGAGAGGCGGCAGTTGGAACGTGGAGGTTTAACCCTTGATAAGCCGGATACTTGAAGACACAGTCTGTGATAAAGAAACTACTGTACATTGCAGTCGCCTGCTTCTTGGTGCCTATGGCAGTGTGCACCGAGGCTCTGGATTCTATCTGAACACTGTGTGGCTGTGCTGCATACCTTTAAAATGGACAGACCTCCTACTGTGAGAGTTGCTAGAAAACAGCTAGGTACCTGATTAAAATCACAATATTAATTTTAGATTTAAGAGGAATTTCTTTGTTTTGCTCTTTTTGTACTGTTTTAGCTTTTCTCTATTTTAGAATGATAACATCACCAACATCCTTATATTCACTGAAAATCAAATCTGCTTTAGAATCCTCACTTGTCCCTCTCTTTCAGAGGAATTAATGCTGTAATTTGCTGCATTTGTACAGTAATTTGCCTTCTGCTGTTGCAATGTTATTTCTGCTTTTCTTTGCTGTTGACCATAATAATCAACTTTAAAATAATGAAAATGATCATGTGTGACATATTTACTCTGTTCCATGGATGGTAGCAGACACATTTTAAAACAGTCCTGTTATTATCTCTGCTGATATTTTTGAGACAAAGCTCATAAAAATTTGATTCTAGAAATAGATTTTTTTTATTTCAATTCTAAAACAATAATAAAAAGAAGGTAAAGTGGGAAAGATTGAGAGTTCTCTCTACAAATAGCACTGGACATAGGCTCTTTTACAACTGGGTTCTAGCTAACTTTTTCAATGGGTAATTTTTAAATGGTTAAACCATTTCTGTGCATAGAAAAAGGTGTAAGTTTTTCAGTCTAGTCTAACTGTGACACCAACAACCTAACACCCGATGGAGAAATATAAAAGAGAAAAAAATACTTGCCAACTTCCCATTTTCTTTGAACAGTTTAATAATTTTAATAGTACTGTTTTAATGTACAGTGGTAATAAAAAATACAGTGAATGTTTAAACTTTAAAAAATTTATTGTAGTAAAAGACACATTGCCAAGGCCCGGGGATTTGGCTCAGTAGTTCTGCAGCCTGCTTCACAAGTGCAAGGGACTGAGTTTGATCCCTGGTACCAAAAAATACATGTTGCCATTAATCTCTGTCAGAATGGAAATTTTTTTCATGAATATCTTTTCTAGGCATTATGAAAAATATGGTAGATGTCACTGCAGTGTACCGTCTAGTGGAAAGGCAAACTCATTAAACATGATGTGTCTTCACCACCTTATTCATTGGATCTGGTACCATGTGACTTCTCACTCTTCTCTGAAGTCAAAGTGACCCGGAAAGGTTTTGGGACATTGAGGCAGCCATAACAGCACAACTACACAACTAAACACACACACACACACACACACACACACACACACACACACAGGACTGCTTCAGAAGGTGGCAAGAGGAATGGAATAACTGTGCCTGAAGCAAGTGGAAGTATTTTGACATGCATTAATGGCAACATGTCTTTTACTGTAATACATTAAAAAAGTAAACACATTATATGCTTACCTGTATTGGCAATAGAGTCCAGAGAGTTTCATCAGAGGGTGGGTTCCCAGCTAAACATTTTATGGATGAATCTGCAGGTACAGACAAATGGGAAATACAAAGAAGAGGAAAAACTAGGTCATCAGCTCTAGACAAAGGTCAGATCTCCTTTTATTTACTACTACCACGCTCTAAAGTCGAACCTCATAGAATTCTTCCTCGTAACACACAGGCACACATGGCACACTAGTCTATATCACAACATGTACAGAACTCATTTCTCTGTTTCTTTTGTACATTCCTACCCAGTACACAACTCTGCAGTAGTCTTTAGGGTTGAGCTCATTGCTGTTGGTTCACAGAATTTGGCATGAAGGCATTTTCATTGGTGATTTAAGTTGCACTTGCTTCCACACTGCCCCCCCTGAGCTAGGGCTTTCTTCCATTGCTTCTTGAATATGTATTTCTCTTTCAATAAACTCATCTCCTGTTATTGGTTTTAAAGTTAATTAGTATAGAATTATAAATAAAGAAACAATATTCCCTGTATTTCTCCAGCACATGCCATATGCTGTTATTGCTTACTTTTGTCTTTATCATGCATTTCATACAGAATAATTGTCTCTGGATAGTTCTTGCTCCTGTATAAAGAAGTAGCAGTGGCTCTCTTGCATTTTTGAAATTCTGTTTTATCTTTTATACTACATTACTCTCTCATAACCAGTTCTAACTGCAAATCTATAATATTTTATGGACAATTTATTCTTTTCTTCCTGAAGTGTAAGTCTGATTTCATTTCTGTTAGCACTGCGTGCCAAGTGTTCCAATTTACAATTTTCCAGGAATTCTTTTAATGTCCAAAGCATCTGACAGAGTACACATGGGAACACAAGCTTCCATTTGCTCCAGTACATTTTCCATTATAAGATAGTGAAGTGCTTAGACCTTGGGAGCCCCCAGAACATATATAATCTCCCATAACTACTGCAAATCTCCAGCTGCTACTGTCATCACTCAAACAGGAGGGTCTCAGGTGGATCCCTGTGCAAGAGAGTCCATGTGGGATTTTAAAGCTGTGTTTGTTTAGAATTACAGATTGAACCTGCCAACACTGCCTCTTGAACATCTTCAAAATACTACTCTACTACTACTAATGATAATAATAACTCTAATATCCTGGTTTGTTTTCCTTTTCACCACAACATAAACATTGGGGAGGAAACCTCATGGTAAAGGGGAAATATTGCAAACTCAGAGTGAACAGATCTGGATTTGAATGCACCCTTATCACTTCCTGAATACCTGAGGCACTTAATGTTTCTGAGTCCCAGTAAAATGAGATTGAGATTAGAGGCTACTTCAGAGCCAGGATTATTCTGAGGATGGTAAAGTAAAAAGGGAGATAATTGCTGGGAAATTTTGAACCAGAATGAAGTGTCACAATGCTCTGAGTTGAGTCAGAGTTTACATAGTAAAGATCTGTAGGCCCAGATCTTAGAGGATGGAGATGAGGGCCACTCTCCCCTGCCTTCTCTGCGCCAACATCCTACCCCAAGCAGTTGCAGTTACTTTCCCTGGCTAGCAATTCCCTACTTCATGCTTGGAATTAGCATCCCCTAAAGCAGGAAGTATGAATGCACTCAGCTGAGGCAAAGGATGGCTTCCATCAGCACTGCTCTGCTTGGGTCACATTGGTATTTGAGTGAAGAAGTCCAACTAACAATTACATATAGAAACAGGGAGATGAGTAAGCTTAAGAATGAATCATGAGGACTCAAACAAAGGGAATTCTCCTACATAGAAAATTAGCCTTTTGTACTAGTATACCTATTATAGTACTCTTTATGAAGGGTCAAAAATTTTAAGAACTGCTCAAATATCCAGCAATAAAACAAAAAAGCAAATAGAAAATTAAATATATAACTTGATTTCAGCTGTGTAAAAATCTGTTATTGTCTTTGGGTTGTGATTTTAAGATGATTTTGCTTTTCTTAATATTTTCTCTATTTTAGATTTCCAGTCCTGGACACATTTTGAATTCAGAAAGGGGGCTTTTACCAGAAGACTGATTGGCATTCTCAAAGGGGCATTATAATGTGATATTATCTTGGCAAGTTTGCCACAGCCCAGGGTCCGCTCTCAGCTTGTCAACTTCCAGTGTTATCAGAAGGTCATCTGCCTACCCTATAATCAGAGTAAATGAAGGTTGTGGTCTCAAGAGATACTTTTATCATGACTAAGGGGAACCCAATAAATCACCCAGCTCCACAGCAGAAATCACCTCTCCAATGACAGCAAAGCTTGTGCTCATCAGCAGCTTGAACAGTGCCAGACAAACTGCTAACTTCTGGCTCTTTGTATTTCTCTCCTCCTCACAGGCAACTACCAAATGGCACCACCACTCAGGTCTGATTCAGTGAATCTTCTCAAGACACATCCGTCTAACAGGCATTCTTCTGGTTCAGTTCCGTCATGGACTAGTCACAGCCGTGGGGTGGGAGTTTTATAATAACTTCCTGGAAAATACTTGAACAGTATTATACGTATTAGCAATGATGTGCGCTCATTTCACAACTGGAAGACAAGTTTTGGAACAGATGCAGAGATTGTTTAGTTGGATTTGTAAATGCACTCATGGATGCACCTGCTTGTGAGTTTTTAAAATTCTCTTCCTAGAAAGCAATCCTTTGTCATTTCTGAGAAGACATTTGAATTTATTACATTGGTTTTACCATCTGACTTACTGTTGGAATTTGCAATGATTTTACACTGTTTCCAAAATATGAATGGACTCTCCAAGGATATTGAAACATTTTGAATTATCTGCAATAGGCTTTGGAAGCAAGATGCACAGAAGACACTCAGAGATTATACTGGGTTACGATCATTTTCTAGGAACAAGTAGCTGCTTGGAAGAACAAAGCAATCAGAATAAAATGATTTCAGAATAAAAAATATCAGTTGGTAACTTATAGATACATCTTCTCATCACTCAATCTTTGGTGTAACAAGTTTTATACCTAGAAGTTATTATAATGGTACATAAGATCCTAATGATATAATCGACAATGTGAAATAGGAAGAAAAGGGCTAAAGGTGTAGGGGAAGTGGGTAGGGTAGGGGAAAATATGAGAAAATAAAAAAAATGGAAAAAAAGTATTTGTAAATAGGAAAGGGAGGAAGGGGGTGAAGGGAGTCAGGGACAAGGGGAAAAAATTAGAACCAAGACCTGTCATGTAAGGGTACAAGATCCCAATGACGAATGTAACTGTACTGTGTACCTAAAATGTACCAATAAACTCAAAGAGAGAAAAAAAATAAACCTAGAAGTTATTGAACCCCAGGTTTTTCCTAGTGTAAAACAAATAAATCTTCTTTGGCACTTGTGAGATCTTTATTAACTTTAGCCCTGCTGTTCCTAGAAACTTAAAAAAGAAAGAAAGGTGGCTTTGATAGATACCATTTTGTGAGTACCTACCATATGCCAGAAAAATCTATGAAGATATGTATTTATCAAATGTATAATATTTTATTTTATTCTCACAGAAACCATCAAAAATAATGATACTCCTTATTTTACAGAAGGTGGGACTGAGGTTCAGAGAGATAAAGTTTGCCCAAGATTATTTTTAGTAAATATTTGCAGTGGGATTTCCAGCTGGCTCTACGATTCTATAAAATAGAATTCTCATAAGATTCATTCTAGCATTTTGTGAGAGGGCTTTATATTTTCTATTTGGCGAGTCTGGGAATCCATGAATCACAAAAAGGGAAAAATTTTAAGAATTAATTTGGCTTCATGGTCCCATGGGGAGCAGTAGGCCTGCAGCACTAGGAGGTGGCCTGGTGTTAATAAGGTGACCTTTATTACATGCTTGGGGAAACAAGGACACTATCTTCCCAAGTGCAAATTTTTACTTCGCACTTTAGGAAGGGCACAATCAAACAACCATAATAATAGTAGCTATGTTGATTAAGGATTTTCTCTGTGCCAAACTGTGCTTTGAATATTAATATGCAGTGAAGGGTAAGTATAGGCTTAACTTCAGTCAGGAATATGCCTTCTCAAGGGATGAATTAGTAAATATTTCTCTTGAGGAGTGGACTAAAGGGTGTATTAGTTGTGGAAAATAATGCCACATAGTAAATATTATAAATACAAGTATATTTTACACACATATATGTGTATATACAGTGTATATGTAATTGTATATACATATATATATAATATGTATATTTATATATATAATTGTTTATATATATAAAATTGTGGACTAAGGGTCATTTGTACCTCTCAAGAGAGTGTTAAGGAATCATTAAGAGCTTCTCCGGGAACATTTGAGTACTTGTCTTAACCAGCTGTGTTCTGAGAGGTGAATGAGAGATGTAGGAAAGAAAATACAAATCTTGTGCACAGATTTGGCTCATTTGCAGCAATGAACATGATGGATCTGGCAATATGACATGTAAATTACATGACAACATAAATGACTACAAAATAGAAATTGATGAAGGATTAGGCTTTAAGGTTTTCTTTTTCTGTTGTAGATTCCTTTTGTGAAATAAGGGTAGTGTTTCCTCAGACATCATGGCTCAGGTCTACTCCTTTGTCACATTTGCAGTGTACAGCATCAGTGCATACTGTATGCACATGTGGGCTATGTAAGTAAGAGATGGATCTTTCTTTCCCAAGTACTAATGGCTTCTTTATTTTCTGTCATTCAAGATTTAACAGAGAAGAATCTTCTCTAGTTTTAACAAACACCTCTAGTTCCATAGTTTCCAATGTTTCTAGAATGTGATTCCTTTACACAGCCAATGGCATTTTCTATTTTCCATGGACTCCATGCTATATTCTTTCCTGGAGCAAATTTCTTATGGATCATCTTCAGAATTTGGTGTTAACAGAGTGACTAAATTAGGCCCCAGGAGTATGAAATTTGTATTTTCACAATTCTTGGGTCTTAATGTGACTTCGTCAAGTTACCCCTTTGGAGTATGGATGTAAGTCAATCTATGATTCTATATAAACCACACTGCTGAGAAAAGTTACTATATACATTAAGGAATGTGACATACTCGTAGTAATAATGAAGTACAGTTATTGTCCCACTTATTTTTTGTAATAATTTAAACGATAACATTTTATAATTCCCTAGACATTATACTTTGCATGATTTCATTTAATCTTTGCAACAGCATGAGTTAGGCATAGCTATGCTTATTGTGCCAGTGAGAAAATTTTGACTCAGAAAGGTTAGATAATTTATTTATGGCCACAGAACTATTATGTAGCAGAGCCAGAAGTAAAACCTGGTTTTGTAGTCCTAAATCCTGTGTCCTTCCCCAAAGGTGACTTGGCTGTTTAAAAAAACATTTTGATATAGATCTTTGGGTTTTATACAGGACACTTTGAAAAAGGTAATAATAACAAATT